CGGAGCTCCTCCGGCGGGGGAGTCGATCCACAGCTGCAATCAGAGGTCACCAGACAGGAGATTAGAAGTCTGTAGGCCCCAGAATGAGTCTGTAGGACCTAGAATGAGCCTGTAGGACCCAGAATGACTCTGAAGGACCCAGAATGAGCCTGTAGGACCCAGAATGACTTGAAGGACCCAGAATGAGTCTGTAGGACCTAGAATGAGGGGGCAGGGGGCAGCCTGTTGGGGGTAAAGGACCCCAACAGGCTGTATAAAGTCATTAATGGAGCAGAGTCTGTTGTTGGCTCTAAACTGGTCTCCCCGGAGGAGGGGGTGGGGGAACTGGACTGATGTGGTCTTGGTTCTGAACTGGATTGATGTGGTCCTGGTTCCTGGTTCTGAACTTGACTGATGTGGTCCTGGTTCCTGGTCTGCAGAGACCTGAGAACTGGACTGATGTGGTCCTGGTTCCTAGTTCTGAACGGGACTGATGTGGTCCTGGTTCTGAATGGGACTGATGTGGTCCCTGGTCCTGGTTCTGGATCAGTGTTTCTGGCTCTGGTTCAGACTCTGTTGCTCTGGTTCTGGAAGTATTTAGATGGTGAAAATCTGCTGAAGTCCAGGTCTGAGTCCAGACCTTTGGCTGTTGGACGGGTGGGTGTTCTTGTGACTTCACCTCTTACATAGCCAGCAGGAAGGTGGAACTTCTTGAATAACTACTAACATAATAGCCGGGCAGCTGGAAAACCTACTATATGCAAATTTAAAGAAAGCCTGAGGCTGCACACGAGATGCCGCTTTGAGATTTGGGCGTCTGAGTTCTTACATCTTATTTCTGACTGAATTTAAAGTTAGATTTCACATAGGTTTGGTTTTATGGTGTAAAGGTAAAAGAAAGCAGCAAGGCAGAGATGGAAAGGGGGCAGAAGGAGCTATTCATGCCCACAAACAGGGGCAAGAGGGGGCCTGGCCCCCCCCAGAAAAATGCTGTGCCTCAAAGGCTCCGAGATACAACCCCAAATGAACCTGTAGGATCCCGAATGAGCCTGTAGGACCCAGAATGAGCCTGTGGGACCCAGAATAAGCCTGTAGGACCCAGAATGAGCCTGTAGGACCCAGAATGAG